ATTGAGTGTTTGGAAAATAAGAGGGCAATTTAAAATGGTTCTGCGGATGACTAAGAGGTCTGGCTAAGAAAGGTATCATTTGACAAGGAGGAAAACTTCACTAGCTAACTTTTATTCTGAATTGGTGATTGAATTTATAACTTTCGTGTTACTTTATATACAATTACCTAAAGAGACAGTTATTTAAACACAGTTCTAAATATGGGTGACCGGCTCGACGGGAGTGGTACCATAGCTTCAGAAAAATCCGACGTGAAAAAACGCTGGCGTTGTGTTTCATCGTGTGAGTGAGGTTACCGGAGGCCTAATTATCCCCCAATCTACCCAATCCCTGAATCTCCAAAAGGCTGGTAACGCACTTATAACGCCTCTGATGTTCCGAGTGTCCATGGGCGACGCCGATTGCTTACCATCTACCACGATTCGTCTGCTCGTTTACTGGCTTATCCCACAAATAAACAGTACTGTAATTGAACTATCAAAATTAAAAAAACAAGTTTAAACAAACATGTTCTACTGGTATCACAGTATACTGTGGTGAATTGGACTAGTCATGGTGATTAATGATCAGCATCCGCCGGTTGCGAGTGCGATCGCTCTCGTTACTCACAGCAACCAGTAGCATAGTTATTGCAGTTGGAAATTATGTAATAATTGCATGTCTTATTGTTGATGATGCCTTGATATTATTAATATGTATTGTATGAAGACTAGAGCTTGTTGAGCTTATTTTATTATTTAAGTTTGCTTTTTGTCAGTCAGTAATGGGACTGTTGATGTCGATGATGAAGGGTATATGTTTTTGGGACGTAGCTTTTTTTTAAGTGGGGAAAATCATCGAATGACCGCTCCCACCTGGGTGAGGCGGGAGGGAGTGTCAGACTCTTACTGACTAAAAACCACCCCGTTCCTTCTTCTGCACGTCGAGCTGGAGCCCCGGTAACCCTGAGACCGTAACTCTCCGCGACTCTGTATTGGGAAGTACCTTAGATCCCAATTCCTACTAACATATAAATGCAAACGTTTATGACGATGTATCGTATTTTTTTTTGTCCCAAGCCGGTAAACGAGCCTACGGATCACCTGATGGTAAGTAACCGGCGTCGCCCATGGACACCTGGAACATCAGAGGCGTTACAAGTGCGTTACCGGCCTTTTGCGGTTAGAGGTTTGAGGATCGTTAGGGATTCAGGAATTGGGAAGTTTGAGGATCGTTGCTGTCGAAGCCGCTGGCAGAATCTAGTTAGTGTACCTATTTTTCTTATTAACTATTATGTTATGTGATTTATAATCAGTATATATTATTATGTTTACAATAAACTGCTAAGTTAATTTACCTGTGTAATTAAATTTCTGTTAAAATTTAAACTTAATATTTCAGATTTACTGTGTCAGTTTTCGAATAAATTTTGCTATTTAACCTCAATTATGTAAGCCAAGTTATTGATAAAAGATTTCTAAGAATGGTGTTTAGGTGAAATATGAGGTAATGTATATTTACCTATCTACCTACCTACCTAAGTATTACATTAATTACATTGAAAGCGGTTTTGTAATCCTCTTTCTAAGAAGAAAATGTAAGAAAGCGGGAGTATCTGCAATTAATATTTAAATACAAATTAATTAATAGATTTAATTATATATAACTTATTTCTTTATAATATGTATACATATATATAATAGAAAAAGAAATTGAATTGCATGAATATTACTAATAGGTCGGGTCAACATATAGGCTACATGTTATCACGCTATCATCTAAAGGGGAGGAGTTGTAAATCACAATTCCACGCGACCGAAGTCAAGATATATTATGTAAAAAAATCGACCATGACATGGACGAATGTTTATGTATTTAGACCATCTACTCGTCGTCTGAAGACCCTAATCAAGCCAGGTCTTGGCCTTGGCACACAACTCCCATAAAAGCAGACGCAAGCAAGTAAACCTATACCTTTCTATCCAATTCTTTATTCGATTTCCAACTTTATATTTTTCAATATTAAGTCGAAATTACAATGAATCAATTTGACAGATTTAGGTAGCTTGACGTGCATGGTATGTATAGAGGTAAGTATCGTGTGAGATGGTTCTAAGTTACGCGGTTAAAAAAACTAATTCGATATAAATATCTTCAAGCCCATGTTGACTTAGGTTAATAGGCATAAGTGCTACTTAAATTAGAACTCGTATTGAGAATATAGATAGTATAGATATATCTATGGTCACTGGTCAGAACTTATTATACATTATATACTTACTTACTTACTTACTTACAGATATATATATATATTTATAGTTACTATAGTAAGTTTTATATATTTCTGCCTCATTGGCCAAGTGGTCACAAGTGCGACTGCGGGGCAAAGGGTCTCGGGTTCGATTCCCGTGTCAAGCAAATTTATAATGGGTTTTCAATAAATACTCAGTTGGAGCACGGAGTCTGGCTGGAATTGTGCCCGGTATATGGAAATACGTTCACCCCCTATTACATGGGACTCATATAACATAAATAGTGAAAAGTGGGTGTTACATTGTACAGAGACATAATGTGCCAAATCACAAGTAAAATATATATTTTATCTAGTAAAGAAATAAGGCAATTTATTTCCGACTACCTACTTCCGCGCGGTTTCACACGCTCTACTCAGCTCCTATTGGTCGTAGCGTGATGTTTTAGCCTATAGCCATCCTCGATAAATGCGCTATCCAATACAAAAAGAATTATTCAAATCAGACTTGTAGTTACGGAGATTAGCGCGTTCAAACAAACAAACAAAAAAACAAATTCTTCCGCTTTATATACACAGTATAAGATTTGAGTACAGTTAGCCCATTATTTGGAACCTGATGACTTATTCTTGCATTCACAGTTGTCATTATACGAACAAGAAGCACAATTGTAGAAGCACGATGGGATTGACATCGTCATAATGTGTACAAAAATCCCTTAAAATAAATGAGATTAAAAAAAAGAAGCACAATACAATTGAGAAGAAATGATCAAAGAATTGGCTATTGTATTGTTTTTTTTTGTAAAATAGAAGTGAAAAATTATGTACAATTGAGATATTTTACCTTAATGCTTTAAGAATGGAATTAAAAGATTTTTTTCATTAAAAATGTGTAATTCTGGTTGTTTTACTATGTTTTCAAATCCGATTACGATTTGTCAAAAAGAAAAATTGGGATGATGACAGGGTATGAAAATTAAAAAATATAATTAGTCTGATAACGAAAAAATATTAGACACGTATTTTTTTATTTTGTCGTATAATAAAACAATACTTAGATAAAATGAATCAAAGTTTAGGAGTGGGGACTAAAACGTCATTTCTATGTTTATAATATACATAGAAGTGACGTCACGCGACATTTCAAATCAACATATCGTCGAATTCGTTACTGTAAGAAATTAAAAAATACGTGTCTAATGATTTAAATTTTTAAAATAGTCTACCAGACGGACATTAAAATAAAAAATAGGCATCTACCCTATCACCACAATTATATACAAAGCAATTAATTTTAGCGGTATATGACCAATTCAAAAATGTGTTGATTAGTATACCTAAAGCTTAAAAATTCCTAAGCATATTAAGATGAAATTCTTTTGTACGAATTTTAGACATTTTCGATTTCTAGGTCACTGTTAGGCCACAGTGTACAATTTTGTAACTGATCATAGTAGTTATTGGGAACAGAAAAAATTAAAAAAGAGTGACGAATGGAGTTTCTTACTCGTTATTCTATAAGCGAATCTACATTTTGGAATGAGCTTCACTGACGGACTGATTTCTTATTGTATTTGTTAACGTTTGACGTTTTGAGTTAAACCAAATTATAGTTTATTTCAAATAAATGCTTTAAATTTGACTATATAAGAGGTAAAAGTTAGTGTATTTTGGAGTATGAGAATTTATAGAAGTAGTTAATCTCATGGCATTTGGTAACACCATGGGAAATTAGCGGATTATGTCTTTCCGTGAGAGAATACCGAAATAAATGCTTTTCTAAGAGAAGGGCAAATTTTACTCTATGGAGTATTGTACAGAGTATATAACTGTGAATGAATAATTAAAGTGGCAATGTGAATGATTTAAAAGAAAATAATATCTATTCAAATAAAATGAATAGCAAATAAAAAAAGCACGATTAATTCACAACACATTAATAAAAAGAATCGTAACACAAACTTTCGAAATGAATTCGCATCGAGAACAATCCGAATCATATTGAACGTTCAAATATTTAAGTTGGACATCTGACCGGCTCATCTTCATTGAAATTAGCACGTTCACTTTCGACACAATATGCAGTCACTAAATGACTTGCCCAAACACGTCTACACGGAAGTTGCGAAAGCTACCATCTGTTATAAATATTCAGTATAAAACACGTTTTGTTCCGTGTCATCAAATTGTGTAACAGTTGAAAGATCTCCGCATCAAATTGCCCCGCGCACTCCACTCGTTATTGCTACTCCCTAATAATGTTGTCATTATGTCAGGCGATGCTACCATTTATATCGTGACGTCACTATTAAGCAGTAAATGAAGGGAAAACTCAAGAATATTCTTATGTACTGTATAACACCCAAATGTCAAGGTTTACGCAAGAACATTGTGAATAACTGCAATAGGTGTGTGTTATGCAATGATATATTTAGCAAAACTCTCTTATTTTCTATAAAAGATGTTGCAAACAGCTTCTTTCTGGCTGCATGATGCAACTGAGGTCACGCTTGTCCCGATGTTGCGTAACCTCGCCCACTTCGGAGAAAACACCACTTTCTACGATACACCTGTTTATGTAGCGTGTTAATGATATTGACATGTTAAAATGTTTGTTCTGTGGGTGAATGGCATTTTGAAATCCAAATTTTAGGCTCGAATGGAGTGTGTTTGTATAACCTTGTATGAACCTAGACAGCTCGGTGTAGTGAGTTACTGAGCTACTACGCATTGTGTTAAGGGAGGAAAATGAAAGTGTTCACTTTGTTTAAACTTTTTATGCAAAAATAAGAATTTATAATACAACTAGAATTATAGTACATTAAAATTACTATTTACATAAATACATTTAGGCACCGTAATTTTTTCTCTACTTAAAACTAAGTTTGTCGCCGGCAGAGCAGGTATCACAATTGCGCGCGCCCGTCGCACCTTTTAGTAAGGGCCGGACTGACCGGGGGGGCCGTACGAGGAGCTGACACCACCGCTGGAGCCACCGTGACCACCTCCGATGGAGCCACCGTGTCCACCACCGATGGAGCCACCGTGACCACCGCCGATACCACCGCCGATGGAGCCACCGCCGATACCACCGCCAATGCCGCCGCCGATGCTACCACCGCCGATACCACCGCCGATACCAGAGCCGATACCACCACCGATACCACCGCCGATGCCAGAGCCGCCTCCGATAGCGCCACCACCTTCCTTCTGGGTCTTGTACTTGATGAAGTAAACTTCGGGTTTGGAGGGTTGAGTGGGAGCAGCAGTGGGGATGGTGATGTCGGGCTGTTCGTCGGGTTTCTTGACCAACACGTAGACGAGGGTCTTCTCTTCGTTCTGAGCCTGGGCGGGGATGATGGGTGCGACGGGTGCGGGAGGAGCGGGCGCCTTAATGAAGATGATCTTGTAGTGCTTCTGGGGAACTCCTCCACCGCTTACGATGGGAGCACGCTGTTCTTCGGGTTCTGGGGGTGGGACGTGGACGTAGATGTGCTTCTGAACGATAGCGCCACCGCCGAAGCCAGCGCCGCCGCCGAAACCGGCGCCTCCTCCGAAGCCGGAGCCTCCGCCGAAGCCAGAGCCTCCACCGAAGCCAGAGCCGCCGCCGGATGAGAATCCACCAGAGAATCCTCCAGAGGAGAATCCACCACCGCTACCACCGCCGATGCCTCCGAAGCTGCTGGAGCTCAGTCCACCAGAGGAGAATCCTCCGTGGCCGCCACCGAGCCCACCGCCTCCGATGAGGCCTCCGAGGCCACCGTGTCCATGGCCACCACCGCCTCCGGGCGCGTTGTAACTGTATCCCGCCTCGGGTCTAGCCGAGCCGAGTGCCGCAACGGCAGCTAATACCTGCGGCAGAAAATTCACTGTTTACAACACTGATACAAACATTATCGATTGCTCGGCTGTATTGATCGATCACTATTCTCGTGAGATGCACTCGAGCGATGAATAGAGCCGAGCGATCGAAGCACTAAACAATCCAATGAGGAAGCACAGTGCGCGGTCACAGGAGCGGGGGTCACCACACAGGTCACAAGTCACTTTCACTGCACGAATACCTACCAAGAACGCTTTCATGTTGACTCACGGAGGTGTCGTGGTTGTGTGATGCTCTGTACCACCGACCGTTGGTTTATATACTGGTGGATCGCCGACGCCTCTCTCCCGGGCTCTTCCTAACATTCGGCCTTCGGGCCATACGAGAATTATGATTTTAATGACACCCGTCCAATTCTTCTTTGGTGAAAACAATGTGGATCTTGTACAGCTATTGGACACTTTCACAGGCTCGCCTATGGTAATAATTGATATGTCAACAGAAAATTCAATATGACATATTAATTTGGCATTGTGTTCTGTTGGCCTCTATTGTTCAAGTTGGCCTGTGAGCTGTTAAATGTTCCAAAGAAATTTTATTGACCATTTTACTCGCTTCAAAGTTAATCCATGCAAGTTTAGCTCGATGTAAAAACTTGGGATTAGTTCTTTGATTACGGAACTAGGCAGTTTCCTTGTTTTCGAAGTTTTTGTGTCACCAATGATTACTTCAAGTTCTTGTAGAGGTGCTCTGCATACATTAGTTTCACTGTTTCACTATAATATTTTATTGAACGTATGCACCGTTACGATTAGGAAATGGCCCGAAAAAATAAAGTAATAAGAATGTAGGTATATAACATGTTATATTTACTGAAATCACACATTTGTTATTTACATAATCACTAAACTCTATTATCAGAATATTGTCGTTCGGTTAAAACTTACTTAATATAAAAAGTATCTATTAAAGGAATCACTTAAAAAAAACCTATGATTTTAATCTATTACATTTTTCCTTTCTTACGTAGGTATAATTTACATGCAGAATCATGTTTTATTTTTACCAACCTGCAATAATGGAACGATGTAATCGTGACCTATTTTTACACGGCGAAAAAATGGACTGTAATATTTTTACTGACTTGAAATGATATACCAACTTACTTTACTATAATATAATTACAACCAGGATTGACAAGAATCCCGCCTTGGTTGGTTCAATCAGTATATTTACGAAATTTACATTCGAATTGGAACCTGGAGTTACTCACAATATGCGTATTACTTATTACTTATTCAGTTCCATAGTCATTAACATACAATTTTCTCAATTCTCAACCTTATTTACATAATTCCAATTAATTCTATTGTCACAAAAAAGTGGGTCAAACTGACCATTTTCCTAGTGAACAAAATGATATTGTCATAATCATAAAAATACCTATTACAAAAACAGTCTCACTTTTACTATGTCCATAACGATAACGATACCATCAGTGAATGTCATAGGTCAAGACATAACAATAACGATATTATGACATAAGAGTACATCGCAATAACAATAAAAAAACTACAATCTCCATACTTTAAGTTAAACTGTTACAAGTGTGGTCTAGTTTTATGAACGCTTGAAGCTATGCTAAACCAGTATAAACTGACCGTAGAATGTGGATAGAGATGATACAAACCGAGATCAAGACAAATTGGTTATGTGTAGCTGTACTTGTACACTCTTGCGCACGTATGCGTGTTATTTAATACTAGTTTCAGCTCGTGAGGTTGCTTGTAATTATTAGTATAAAAATAGTATTTGTGTCATTTTAGACTATTACTTATATCTGAGCCAAATTTTATCCAGATTTGTTTAGTAGTTTTTGTAGAAAAGAGTGACAATTATTAATTCATCTGCATCAAATTATACGTTTATATTATTTGTAGGTAGGTAGTAGAATGCAGAGTGACCGCAAGGGCGACTGCTGATCAAGAGGTCTAAGGTTCTATACATACCTATACGACTTAGACTTAGCGTTATCGAATAATTTTAATAATTTTGGAAAATTTTCAGTCATCGTCAGCCATGGTTATCATTAACCATAGAACAAATAGCTGTGGAGCATTTTAAGTGCGTTTTGGTATGTTAAAGTATAATTATTATTAGTGTGACATGTCTTTGGGTAAAATTGTGCGGTAAAGATGATAAGATCCGCTGGTGAACGTAGCTCACCCCCCAATGGAAGTGACCTGCATCTACAAAGCTCCCTACGACCTTTATCACGTCGAAATTAAAAATACATTTTGGCAAATACGGAAACCGACGTCAAAAGAGCCTGAACAAGGAAATACGCATGACCTATTTAATTAATAAACGAATGTAATATGTATTTAGTTAATAATAAATAACTGGGTCATGACAAATAAATACTGCTATTTATATAAAAGTCCTTGTTTACATGAAATTGTATAAAAATGTATAACCCTGAACGGCGTGAGAGTAAGAAAGACCGTTTTTGGTCCAGTGGTTTCAAGTTCAACTGACAGGTATGGGTTGCCGTTTAAGATTAAATCTGTGGGAAAAACTGAAAAACCTTTTCTTTTACCTTTGGGAGGGAATTGTATAACTTGATTTCCCCTAGTCCTTTTCATTATTGTACCTCAAGACAGTCGGCGAAGCGTCACCGATTCATGGTAGATGTCCCACCCACACGCACGAAGCGCTTCGCATCAAGCTTCCTTGTGCGTACTGCTAAGGAGTGGGTGTCTTAAAGACCCGAGTGAATAGGTTGCTTGTAGGACGACGTGCTCCATCGTAGACCGCATCATCGCTTACCACCAGGCGAGATAGTCGTCGGCCCATCAAATATAAAAAATAAATTAAACTCAACAAAATTTTTGTATACCAACCCATCTCCTTTACCTACGTAAAGTCATGATCAACATCAACAATCACAGATAATCCATATTGCAGATCCTCTATATTGCAGGGGTTTGCCATAATTTCCGTGTTCTGCAAGCGTGAATGGGGTCGCAGTTTAAAAGGTACAAGTTGGTTAGAAAACAGTCGCGATACTGCCCGGTATCTGTTACATACAGGGTGTAAATGGAACCTTTCCGACAATGCAGACAATAAAATTTGTTTTTACAATTCATCCCCTAAATTTGTTTATACAATAGTAGTCTCTAAACATCGGAAATAAGGTCCATAATGTAGTTAGTGGATAGCGATTACCGGTGACCGCTTGGGAAAAATGGGTTTTCATGTTATTCGTCCTACATCACGCTTGAGCAGTTGATTACAACTATTATTTCTTAAAATTGTTTAGTTTTTTCCATATTTGTCATCCCTTAGTCGACTTTTATAGTTCCTATAGGAAGACTACAGATACAGGTCTAATGTATTGTACTCTGCCGTCACCGTACGATTATACACAAGTCATGAAGATATACATAATTATAATGACCTCAACAGCCTCTTGGAGTCATTGACTTTCTCATCATAAGTGCTGATCATGTAACAGGCTGTATAAAGGCATACTTCACCCACAGTTTTGCATACCTAGACGTATTTTTTCCATGACATCTCATTAAGGTAACCCTCGTTTAGTAATTTCAACTTTACAACGACAATAATAAGATTGAAAACCAAATTGGCATGTAAAGCAATAGTAATCCGTCAAATGTCTTCGATCAATTTTCTACCCTAACATTTCGCTTTATAGTTGACATTAGTAAAATAATTTTTGATTCTTCAGGGTACTTTAATATGCTGTTCTATGCGTAGACTTGTAAGTAATGTTTTTCTAAGAAGATGTACATAATGCATATCTGTTTATATGTGTGTTGTTCGAGCATTCCTTTTTCAAGTGAAATTGACATTTAAACCCATTGAAGTGTTAGGGCTAACGGTGTTTTAAGTTGTTAATTTTTTGCGTTGCGAATTCGCATCTCATCGCATCGCAGTTTTGTGTACGAGCCCTTAAGCCGTGATTGTCTTTTTGCCATTGATCGAGTAGACTTAAAGTTCTAGATTCAATTGACGAGTTAGGTTAAATGATATTGTAGTTACATACATAACTTCACGCCTGTCTCCCATGGGGGAAGGCAGAGACTAGCGAACACCAATTACTACGATTCCTACATACCTCTTTCGCTTCATCAACAGTCATCAATCTTTTCATGCATGCTCGTCGGTTAAGGGTACTTTTAACTTTTACCCTTCTTTAATATATCGATATTGATCAAATACTCAAACTCGTTTTGACAATAAGAACTTCTTCCTGATTTTAGGCAATCAATTCGGTTTAGACCCGTCGTGAAACCAGTCTAAAGAGACAACCAAAACAATGAAATGTCTATAACAACTACTTATAATAGGCAGATACTGGTCACTGATTCATAGTCTAGTACCACCATTAATAATCCCATTGTCAGCCCATTGTTATCGATGGCGTTAAGTTATATCATAATAACTTTCACTTGGTAATCTCATTTCTTAAATATAACACAGCACGCCTTTTATCACCCAAGGGATAGGCAGATCACATTACGGCACATAATGATACTGTACAATGCAACACCCACTTTTCACTATTTATGTTATAAGTAACAGGGGGTGAGCCCATTGCCATATACCGGGCATAATTCCAGACTCCTTGCTTCTATTGACATATTTTTTTAAAATCTAGTAATATTTTTCTCGACCGGATTACCGGGGACTGCCGGGCAAGGGGTTCGATAACCCGAGACCCCGTGCCCGGCAGTCACACTTACGACCACTCGGCCAACGAGGCAGTCATTTCTTAACTATGGGTAAATTCATTCATAATCTTTCATATAGGTATTGGACATTATTGTCTGGATAAACCGTCAATTAAATTCTCTCGTTTTACTTACATATTATATATTATCTAGTTTATTTTATGGAATACCGGGCAAACGGATCACCTGATGGTAAGCAATCAGCGGTGTCCATGGACAAGACTACAGGAGTTAAAAGTGTGATGTTGCATTTTCAGGGCATCTCTTCTTACGTATGTTTTCGCGGTAAATATTGACACATTTGGATAAATAAATAAGTTTATCGCATTTCAAACTTTGAAAAACTTTGTACATGTTGTAAACTTCTTAATTTTCCAATATTGTCATTGTCTTTCGCACCGGATCCTTTCATTAGAGTAGAAACTATTGATTTACTTTCAAAAATAATACAATATTTATAAATACAAAAAAAAAGTATAAAGACGATTAATTTCTAACACCATTTCTCAAGTATTATTGTCATAAATATCGTGTGAGAGGATTTGGGAGTGACGTAACGAGCATTGACCTCGCGTTGTCGAATTAAAA